TCTTTGAGACGTCTCAAAATGCTTCGCGGAATATACTGTAAAGTGAATTACCCGTTTATTTTGTGGGCGGCAGCCAATTGCGTCCCGCAAACAAGAACTGCAGATTATGTGTGTTTGGGGAGGGGTGCGGGGGGGGGGGTGGCTTAAATGGGAGTTTACGACTATTTTATTGCAGAAAGATGTGTATGTTTGTGTGTGTGTGCATGTTGCATTTGAGAAGGAGGGAGAATTACCGTCAGTAAATGCAAGCGCTTGGGAAAGAAAAACAGCACAGATAATGGTGCCCGCCAGAGAAAGCGAATAAAACAAACGAGGGGGAATTTAATTGTATTAAATAATACAAACACAGAGAAAGCAAACAAAGGGCAGGAATAGCTGCGAAAAGAACTTCCCTCAATGCTTTCAGGTGTGTTTGGTGAGATCGAGCACTAACTTGAAGGTATGGGACGCTACCCTGGTTGAGTGGCGCTATATAAATCAGGCTGTTGTTGTTGTTGTTGTGTGCCCTGGTTAATCCTGGCACCTATCTAAACTCCTGAGTTTGCAGATGAGAATACATATCCGGCTCAGAGTCATAGACGGGTGAAAGTTGGAAGTAACCTTCCTGCAAGGAGGTCTGAAAGCGTGAAACAAAACGATAAAATAAAAACGCTCCACTTTGCACAACAGAAATCACGTTATCCCTATCCCTGAATTTTTGCCATTCAGTTTAGGTGCATATCAGGTGGGTAGTCTGGCTGTAACTTAATGCAGAAACCCGGGTTAAAACCTCCTAAATCTTTGCAAAATGAATCGCACGTTACGAAATCCCGATGCGCTGCTCCAGAAAACATGCCGCAGTGAATTTCGATTGACCTGTGGCGAGCGTTTCACAGGGATAAAAGGCGAGCCACAGACTGAGCGAAAAAAATCTGCCTCAACTTGTCTTGACTGACTGTCTTCACGTTACCTGGGGGCGATTGGTCTCAATCTTGGAGCATGAGATAAGCTGTGCAAGCATCCTGGCAAGGGGGTGATAGCAACCATGGGAACAGTGCATCGGTACAGTTGTTCAGCAATGAACCTTCTCAGCTTTACATTCGAACTACCTCAGCACAAACATATCGCCCACAGATAAGAACAGTACAGCCTCGGTGCATTGTTTGGATTAGATGGAGGGGATATATTTTCACTAATGCATGTTAAATGTGGTGCAATATCGGGAGCGATTTCAAGATGCGAGACGCTGGCGTATTGTGGCCTTTTATCTTTTACATAAACAATCTCGCTGGATGTCTTCTCTCCTGCATGTTGTCCTTGTGTCTTGTCTCATTGCAATGGAATCCCCGCCAGCATGTAATTACAGTGTATCGGAGCAGCTTCCCACCCCCCCACCTCACCTTTTCCTCCCGCCCGCTTGCTTCCTGGGATGAGCAAGCAGGTCACAATTCAACAAATGTCAAGAGGACGTGACATTGTTTGGCGAGTTTGACAGTTTCTCGTCGGCTGGTGAAAGGCTGTGAAGTCCTGTTCCTCCCTGACGTCAACATGTTTGCTGGAAGGATTTAAATCCGAGCCCACGAGAGACCCTGAGGACAATCAACGACTGGAACGGGTTGCTTGAAAGGGTGGTGAGGCGGAGGCTCATTTAGAAATCAGCTCAATGCTGTGAACTGGAGGACGCTAGAGTGGGTGTTCTGGAAAGATGAGATCGGATGGGCCGAAGGGCTTTCTCCGTCCAACAAATCAGCAGTGATCTGATGACACAGAGGCCATTTTTAAACATGTTTAATCCTTGCATTTGATACAGCGCTTTTCACGTCGGGAGGACGTCCCAAAGCGCTTCACAGAACACACTGTAAAGTGAATTGACTGTATATTTGTGGGCGAACGCGGCAGCCAATTGCGCACAGCAATGTCCCACAAACAGTCGTAGATTGAAAATGACCAATTTATTATTGTTGAAAGCCAACAGGACATCTGCCTTATAAGTGTCGCCACCTTATAATAATATCATAATAATAATCCCCTGCATTTGATTACAGCGCCTTATCACGTCTTCTAGACATCTCAAAGCGCTTCACAGAATACACTGTAAAGTGAATTGTCTGCATATATTTTGTGTGCCGGCTTATAACAGAGTGGCCCTGAAGCTCTTCCAGAAAGCCATCACAGGATTAAGGTTCGAATGGCTTTATTTCTGTGCTGTGGAACAACTTAGATTGTCCTAAGTGCACGCCACTCCTACCAATTCTGCACTCATTTAGCGCCTTTGAATGGTAACAGTAATCAATTGGCAATTTGCAGAACGCTCTCAGACCATGTAAGTGTTTATAAAACTTAGTTTATTAAGTGCTCCTGTCAGCACATTTTTTGGAAATGACACTTACTTTATGCTATAATTATTAAGAAGTGCTTAATGCAGAATGTGATCCAGCGTGTCTCTGCTGTCAGTTCGACTTTTCTGCCCTAAGGTTGTGCTGTTTGAACCTCTCTCCCTACCCTCTACCTTCCCCCCCCCCCACCACCCTTCCAAACACACACACTTGCTTTCATTTTATTTCCCTTTCTAGCCAAGTCCTATCTTTTGGATGGATGAGAGAACGTTGAATGAAAGGTCCATTCTCAGTGATCTTACAATGTTTTTGTTTCTTAGACGAGGCAATGGGCTAAAGTTTGCAGCATTTTGAAACACATTCCTCATGTCGATTAACGCATATACTATAAAACACAGCAAACTCCAGCTCCATTATATGGCAGGTCTTCACGCTTGCATTGACTTGTCGATGGTTGAGTAGGAAAGGCTGACATAAGCCTCTAGATTCACTGGTTCCAGTCGGGTGGAAGTTCTTATGAACAAACAGGTATTCCGGTTGAGTTCTCGTTGTTGGGAACTAAGCGTTTGTGTTCCGATTTAAAAATAAATTGGAGACGAGATTTTCACCTTCCTTTACCATTTGCCGATAGACGTTAGATAGGTGGAGGGAATTCACCAGGATTTGTGGTCCTGCTTACTATATAGTAACCGATAGAGGGTGCCTGGGTGTGGAGTTATGGTTAAGGATATCTGTGGGACCACCCTGGTCAAACAGCAGACTGACATACATTGTGGAATTCTCTACTACAACCATTGGTGATATATCAGTGAAGGGCAGGTGATTTGATTGTCCTACAGGATCATTTCTCTTTCAGCGGTGGATGAGATTAATTAGAATTTGCATGTTCATTTGAAATATGGACACAGTTCCTCATACAATTGCCTTCACCTGACAATTTGTCAAACGCTCAGAAAGGTTCAACATGTGATGGGCGTCATCTAGGCATGATTTATGGGTGATTAGCAGGAAGGTCTTTTGGTAAATTCAACACTCCTGTTGTAACTTTATACCCAGTTGGATGTACAGTTAACACCAGGTGGGTGTTATGGCTTTAGGATTGTTTTGTCTCTGTCAACAAATTTAATGTTTCTTATTAATATTAATAACAATTCTTGCATTCAATATATATATATAGCGCCTTTCACGTCAAGAAGACGTCTCAAAACACTTTGCATGGATTTGCTGTGAAACGCTCTCTTGTTTTGGTGTGAAAGTGAGCTCTTTACAGCAAAGTGCTGGGGAAGGGAACACTATTTGCCACAGTTTTCAGTAGGACCAGGTGGTTTTAGCTCAGCCAAGCTTGAAGGGCAATCCATTACACCCTCTTAACAGGCTCAGTTCACTTCAGACTAAAATGCACCATTTTTTTATTAAAGATACAAATTGCCAGACGCTGACAGGTAGTTTGCCACACAGGTATAACTAGTTGTCACTGGGCAGAAAGTCTACCTGCCAAGGGAGTGCCAACTATAGGGAACAGCCTTTAAACCTGTTGCTAAGGCACTCGATCCAATCGGAAGTTGAAGGAAGTGGCTTACGTGTAACATGAGAAGATAACTGGAGGGCTTTTTTTCCCTACTATATTTATTGTTCTGCTTGCAAGATTAAAGTTACCCAAAGTTATCCTGTCATTCTAAGGAAGAAACTAGAACTCTTAAAGCTGAAGGCTTTACGAACATGCCCAACCGATGAAACTCAATTCAGATCTTGCTCTTAACTTTAAGGGTGTCAATGTGTCAATGACTGAATGATTTAAAAGGCATCCATCTTGCAAGTAACAGAACGAGACAGAACCACAAATTACAGGGATGTCTTGGTCTGATTCTGCAATGGTATTCTTTATGTCTTTTTTATCTGCCACCGGATTGCATGATCCTGTGTGAAAGGCACAAACTAGACTCCCATTGTGGCCGAATGCAACCAGAATAGAAATACTTCCCTTTACTTAAACCTTCTCCAATGCTATTTTCATTGAAAGCCATTGTAAAGGGTTTTACATCCATATGAGAACTACAGAAGTGAAACCTGCCAAGCTGGCCTGTTTCCAAAGCCTCCTACGTGAAATCTAGATGAACATAGAGGCTCTTTCTTCTGAACTATAATACACAGGTACCATCAACCTCTTTGCCCCCAGAAGATGAAAGAGATGTGTGGAAAAATTGTCTAAACCAAAAAGGTTGAACTGAGTGCTCTCGATTCATGTCGGTCGGGTTTGTTCTGCTGCATGTCACTACTTGCAAGAACAAGGGCTTAAGCGAAATTTATGCATTTGCATCGGTTTTTGAATTTAATAATGCCTTGAGGTGAAATTCTTTAGAACAGCAATTTAACTTACTGGCTCCAAGTTGGGATGACTGTATGGAGATATATTTGGATGAAATCTAGAGGTGGTTATTGTTTTATTGCTATTGCAAGCACAGTAAAAGACTAGCTACCTCATCAAGCTGTGCTCTTGATCAATCACCTCTGTTCTCAGTCAAATTTACTAGACCAAGGTGCATCCAGTTTGCTTTCCACCATCCTAGCAGTTGCATGCACACGTCATGTCCCAAACTATATGCTGTATCCCATGATATTATTTCCTAAAAGAAATCTATCTGATTTGCAATCTATCTAATGTGGTCATTTTCTTGTTCTGTCTAGGTTTCTCACATGGTGGTGTGAAATCTCTCAATGGGTCAACCACAGAAATGCGTAGGAGGTTCTTATAGACATTACAATTTGCATACCTGCTGACTGTCTCAAGATTTCGAACAACATCAGGTTTGTGCAAGTCTTTAACCTACATTGATTGAGCGCAGTCATTAAATGATACTGAGAAGTCCTGCCCAGTGCAGTGCTGACCCCCAATAGATCAGAATGTTGTGGAGGTTGAAATCCAGGCTGTGCCAAGTTAGTTGACCTGCGCCAGGGCAGGAATGGGAGTCACAGTTGGCCTCAATAGCCCTAGAATAGAGAGTCGAGCAAAATCAGCCAGGGGGTAAAATTCTAGCTAATTAATCGCTACCCCTACCTGCTGGTCAAAGGTGAACGCAGCTATGATCCAACCACACAGTTGAATTTTGCCAACATTCACTGTTAAGGTGAACAGATGAGCAGTTATCATTTGGCTGAGGGAATTCGTGAGCACACTGTCATCATTGGATCCGTAACCCGAGTGAAAGGGAAAGTGTCTTGCCACCTTAATTTTGCAACGGGCAAGTCTTGTTTCCTCTTGTCCTTAACCGGCACTGGTGAAACATGCCTTGGTGTCTTTCAGCAGTTGATAAGTTGGGGCCCATTGTGAAATGGTTAAGGTGACGAGGTCCAGCTCCCACCCCCCAACTCCACCGCAGCTGAGAACCAAATCTAACCAGTCCCAGGGAATGGGCCATCGAGGAAACAAGGAAGCAGTCACAAATATAACAGCTACCGGCTGACCCACCACTCGAAAATATCTATTATTGTAAAGAGATGTGGGCTTAGAACTCTGAAATTCCACGTGGTCTTAGCCTTCAAATTTTGCTTTACATTTTAAGATGGGCCCAGAATAGCGGAAAACTCTTCAATTCGGCCTTCGTTCGCTAGCCATTTTTTTTTTTGCACCTCTTCAAAAAGAACCATCTTCCAAATCAAGACAGGGTTGAAGTTAGCTTCCAGGCGCTTGGATCATCTTAAAATCGAAGGCAAAATTGTCTTAGGCGCAAAGACTAGGTGGAATTGCTTGGTTCTTGCGAGTCATATGGGATCAAACGAAAGCACCACCATTGAGTGCACAGAGCTGAACTATCAGCCCGAGTCGTTGGATGCTGGTAAAGTTATCATTAGCGATGAACTAATTTGCGGGTTTTCTTATCTACACTTTGGATTAGCTCCCACTTAAGAGTGTGGATAAGGTGCCACGATTCACGTTTGCTGGCAAACGGCGGTACCTATCGGCACATCTGCGGATTTCTTGTTTATGCAAAGAAGACGAATAGATCCCTAGCGGTGATTTGAATTGGAAATTTGAATTTCGCGGTGTCTGGATCCTCGTCCTGCCACTGAGCGGAGAGAGAAAAAAAAAAACACACGAGCGAAAAGCATCTCGATTTTTTTAAGCGATTTGGAAAACAAAGATCTGCTGCCAAACAAACTGAATTGCTACATGCTCAGAGCCTTCCACTAGACTGACTTCAACAATCAGACGAGGAGGTGCCAACCATTGCCCCTGGAGGGTTTTTTTTCTCCGAGTGTGCGGTTTTAATTCCTCTTTCAAAAAAAAAACTTCCTGCTGTAAAAGAGATCGGTTTTCACCTGAACAAAACTGCAGTTGTCTCCGAAACAATTACCCGCCCCAGAAAGAGATGAGCTGCTTTATCAAGTTCAAGCCCGGAGTTCACAGTGAGGACAGGCTTATATAAACACAGTCATGTCAACGGCAGGGTGAGGAAAGCTGTGGGGAATATGAGATCAAGCGTTGTGGGCCGCAGTCATTCAGATCAGAAGGGTCGTGTCGTTGCTCTGAGATCTCTCTCGAACGCTCTGCGTGAAAACTCGCTCGCTGCCCGTTTGAGATTAGCGAAACCTCGTTGCCATGAGCCTGATTAACTCCCTCCCCAACCCCAGTACACTTTACCACTCTGCCAACCTGACATGCCTTCCACTGTCTCTGCTGGCAGCATCGTCCCTCCTGGGAGAGAGGAGTGAGAGAGAGCAAGAGTACCCATTTGGACTCCCTCTAGCATGGCAATGGGTTTCCGCACATTAAAATTGTTGCCCCCCACCCACACTATCCCCCATCCCCCCCCCCCCACTACACTTTACTTTCCCTCCTTGTCACACGCATGACCGCACTAGGTACCCAATACTCATCCATGTGACATGTGTGCAGCCTGACTTTGGTAAAAAAAAACTTTTGACCTGGGGGGGGAGGAGCGTCACAGTATTGTGCAAAGAGCAATGGCGGATGGATTTTGCGATTTAAACTCCCAGCACAATTGGGGATTAGTGCAGCAATCCCGATTTGCACAACTGAAGGGCAATCCCTTCGAGCTCAGTACAGTTCAGCAGAACGCCATTTTCCCCTATTCTGCTGCTCTGGGCTGACTTCTCCCAGCAGATTGCTGGCGCACTTTGCTAAGAGGCAGCTCTCCTGTCTTTCTATCTTTCTGTCTGTACCTGTCTGTTTATTTCCCCTCGAAGGCAGGGTGTGATGAAATAAATTCACCCGCTGTTGCCCAGACCTGTTTAGGAAATACTTGCAGCACGTAGAAGGAGACCATTCAGTCAGACCAAGTTGCTAGTTGCTGCTCATAAATCATTTCAGTATGGTATTATATTTTCCACGGCCAGATAATTAGAGTCTGCACACATTCTGGCAGCAGTTTATGAGGTTACAACTTCCATATTTGCCAACTATGCAGATTTAAAAGATGAGTCATAACAAGACTGAGATCCAACCTCCAGGTGAACTGCTGATATTCTTTTACATCCTTCATTCCATTAAATCTCATTTTTGCTGGTGGTAGGCTGGGATGGATGTTAAACCGAAGCCCCCATTTGCCTGCTCAGGTGTACATTAAAGATGCCTTAAATGGCGCTGTTCGAATAGAAAACTATTTGCCCCCAACTCAAGCAATAGTCAAAGATCCACACTGTTCGCAACAACAGCAGCAAATTGCATTTATATAGCGCCTTTCGCATCAGGAGGACATCCCAAGGCACTGGACAGTGAAGGGTTTGCAGATGAGCAATAATGAGACAAGTGAGAGCTTTTACAGAAGTTCCAGTGTGTCTGAGGTACGGGTTTGGGTCGATAATCTCGTTCAGTTTCTGTCATTTTATTAGATCATTTTCATGTTGTATCACCTCTTCCTTTTCTGTCTATCCCTCAATACCCTTACCTTTCAAGTATCTGTCGATCTCCCTTTTAAGCATCCCAATCTACTGTGCATCTGCACTAACAGTGATGTGGTGATATTGCCCACATAGCACGTGCATGCTCTGGTGGGATTTGGAGAGAGAGAGGGGACATATCGACTGCACGATCAAAACAAGGCACCCCCTCCACAGCGCCTGAACCCATTCATCAGAGAAGCAAGCTGCATTTAGCAGAGTTGCATTGCGATTGCATAACATTGGGAGGGGAGGCTTGAAAGGTTCCTCTGAACTGCTGGTGACATTGCCTAGGAGCAACGTGTGTTATCTTGTGGTAAGAAATGGGTCTCTTTGTTTTTGGGGAAGTCTTGATGAGATCACGTAGCCACCGCGAACCTCAATCAGTGAATCTCATCTGATCACCAGCATCAACAAGGGCAAGCTTAAACTCACTGTTCAGGAAAAGAAAGTCAGCTGTTTTGGCAAAGGGAAGCTTGCCGAAGCCCTGCTACACGTTCCTTCAATGAGCACTTTGTTCGTTAATAGCTCCCTTGTTAAGGTTTTTAATATCAATGTTGAGGTCATATGTAAAAGAACACGCTTTCTTATCAACCCTAACTGCTGGCAATGGCTTGAGAAACATAGTCGGCTTGATAACTTCAGATCTGGTCTCATATTTCACACCCTATGCCTGCGCCGTTCACGAAGATGCCTCGAAACCAACTGAGTTGTGTCACGTTAAACCCAATATCCAATGGTTTAATGGTTTCTAGACGTTGATGTCAGCCTCGAATATTTTACTCCTTGCATTTGATCACGTCTTCGAGATGGGAAATCACTGTCAAGTGTAGGGCCTGTTCCTTCTATCGGCAAACACAACAGCCATTTTTGCACACAGATCGATCGGTCCCACAAACCATGATCAGTTGACCTGCAGCACTGTTGGCCTGGAAATGGGAATTTTCATAACTCGTACAACTAACAACTAGTGTAACTGGGACTATACCCTGTGTGATTGCTGCTGCCGTTGTTGTTGTTGTAACTTTAGTTAGAGCCACTTGACGCAGAGGAAATCCAAACCCTAAACGGTTGGTTTAGCAAGAGTTAATTGTTGCAGCGTGAGGTGAATGCTTTAGTCAGGAAACATTCAGGTTATACAGTATATTAAGTCAGAATGTAAAAGCTATCAGAAATGAAATTTCAGCTAAAAGCCTAAGGAGAAGGCATTAGCGAATGAGGCGCTCGCATCCTAAGCTGCAGGATCCTCTACCCGACGGATCCACTATATTAAAAGACGCTCCTTTTGTTGTGAGTTTGGATCTGCGCTTGTGTCAGCGAAGGAGAGCAGAGAGGGCTGGAACTGTTTTCTTGCAACCAAAACCCTGTGCCGAGCACTCTTAAGGCAGTCACAGCAGTAGCCAAATGCAAAGCTTTGCTTTGATTGCCTTGACAATGTGCTTAGACCCAACTCCCTGGAGATTACTGCGTCCTGAGTTGGTTTGCCAACTCGCCCAATGCTGTTGAGTTTGAGACAGCTTTGCCCCATGTAGCCCAGTGCACTGAGAATGCGATTGGTTGGCTCTCGTCTTTGTCACCAGAGAGGTATTGGCAGCAGGCACTGCCAATCGGGTGGCATTTTTGTAACTCGGTGGGTTTGATTTATGTCGCTTTGTTATGTGTTTTGCAAACAAACTGAGAACGAGTTGCCAAGCAGTGGTGTATAAAGGAGAGGGCCTCTTTAACAGTGTTCCCGGAGAGAAAATGTTCTTTTCATAAGAAAATAAGAATGTAGGAGAGGCTTGTCGATCAAAATCCTTTATTCGGTGCCTGAACGGAGTATTTTATAATTTTTGTGTGTGTGTTTCTTGCTCGCTAACATTATTTTTTCTCAAATGTTTAAGTCTTAACCCCATCTGGTTAATGTA